TGAAGCAGACCAGGCAAGGGATTGGAAGCTGACAGCAACAGGCCTGTTTTCCTCATGATGTCGAGATTTGCACTGGCAAGAGCCAGCCTCACTGTGTTCACCATGCCTTTGTCCTGCAGCAAGATTCATCACATACTCTCTATGGCATTGCCTTGCGTGTCTGGTCTCGAGCCGATGAAAAGCGCGCCGAGACAATTCGTGAGCTGCGCAAGAAAACGGAAGCCGATTTCTATGATAACCCCGATGAGACCTACTGGATCCCTTACTGTCTTAGTTTCCTTTCCCGCTATCCTCTTTACGATCTGCTAGGCGATTACCTACGTGGCATGTGGATTCACTGGAACAAGGCCACCAATCTTTTCCACGCTGAAGAGGTCTCGCGAATTCTGAGCTTCCCTGCTCCACGCCTGAACGATCTTGTTCGTATCGACATGAAGGACTACGCCTTGTGCTATCAGTTCCCTTCGTCGCCCACCGGTTTTCAAAACTTTGCCATGTGGCCCTTGTTCACCTGCCTGTCCATCCCCAACATCGTGGGGGTGGTCGAGGCCGCAGTGTCGCCAACTCGCCGGATCATCTTTGTCAGTCATTACCCAGCTATGCTGACTATCGCCGCTGAAACCGTTCGGTACTGCGTGCGAGTCTACGAATGGAGCGGCCTGTATGTTCCGGTCGTTCATGCTCGTCACATCAGGGACCTTGTCCAAGAGCCTGGTCCCTATATTCTCGGTGTCACCGCCGAATGCCGAACGCTATTCAACGCTCCCTCGGATGCCTTGGTTGTGGACCTGGATCGCAACTTTGTTCTCACTTCCAGCCCTCCAAATGTCCTCACTCCTGGTCAGCGGACGAAATTTATCGACCGGCTGACACAGGCCCTGAACGGTGATGTCTCTCCTTCAGGTGTTCCCAATCACCTGCGGTCCGCCTATGCGGGTGGCAAGCTCATTCCCGCCGGTCAAATCATCGTCATGAGAGGCGAGGTCGAGAGTATCCAGGATCCTTCATGGTGGAACCAGGATGCGGTCATGAGCGTCATGGATCACGTTTGCGAGAAACTGGTATGAATTTTATCCGAGATTTTAAGTCAAAGTGTATGAAAACTAACTGCGCGAAACTTCAGGGTCGCAACACCGGCATGAAGGCCATCTTTGGTGGTTCTGTCAAGAAGCCTCTGATGACCAAGGTATCAATGCGTCATTTGAATGAGATTGTGCGCGAGCGCAACCAGTACTCTCGCGATGCTATGGAGGCTTGGCAAGACTTTATCAATCTGAAAGGCCGCATGGACACCGAGTTGAGCAAAGTCACCAAGCGCAACAACTTCTTGGTCGAGGAACTGGAGACCTGGAAGCAACAGGTTCGTCTTCGTGGTCTGACAATTGATTCAATAATACTGACCTCATGCAGTTCCTCAAGTTCCAGGCCTTCGCAGAGCAGCTCACCAAGGAGACCGCTGAGCTCAAAGTCAAAATCGAGAACCACAAGCGTGAGAACCGCCGCCTCAGTGGCCTCATTGACCAGCAAAAGGACGACGTGGCACGTCTCACTCTCCGTTTGTCTGGCACCGAGAAGCAGCGTGATGATGCCCTGGAGGCACTGGTGCTGCAACAGGAGATTGCCGAGGAGCTTGAGCGTGAGAGGAAGCGCAACCAGAAGGAGCTTGCCTCGTTGCAGCACACCAACGCTTCTCTCGCCAGACAACGCGACGAGGCCCAAAGGGTGGTTCTGCACCTCCGCAGCCTCATCAACGGTCAAACACATCACATGGAACACATTGTTCGCTCGATCAGTAGCTCCGCTGAGCTTTCTGAGCTGGTGGAGCAGGCCGAAGAAAGCAAGGAGAACGAGGAGACTGCCGCACCAGAGGAGACCAAGGAGCGTGCAGAAAAGGCCAAGAGTCTTGCTCCAAACATGACCCCAGAGTTGGAACAGCATCTGCTAAACCTGGGTAAGGAACAAAAGCGTCTTGCCCGCCTCAGCATCACGGATGTGGCGGATCGCTACCTGCGCGACAAGACCGATGCCATTTCGGACATCATCCGCAGCATCAGCGAGCAATGCGCTGCCGCTGTCGAAGGCTTGCATCTGGCTCAAGATGCCGAAGAGGACGACGCAGACGAGTCGGGCCAGCGCACACCGGACGGCAATCGCCTGGCGCCAGACTTCGACGGCCACGATGGACGTTCGACCCGCGAGGGAAGTGAAATGGGTGATGATAATAGCACCCTGCATCCAGATCATCGGACCTCTAGCGTCCCCCCGACTCCAGACCTGGTTCACAACCGCTCTAGTACGTCAATGTCGATGATCAGCAGCTCGACATTCCCGGAGAGGTCGAGCCAACAATATGGGCCTGGCGAGATCCCGACCCGGATCGTCGAGGATGACGACGAGCGTGCCCACGAGACCGATGGTCTTGATGACCACACCGAGACAGGCACTCTCTCCAAACAGGGCAGCGAAGATCTGATGCGGTCAAGCCCCCGGCTGCTCGCGTGATTGCTCCATCGACAAGATGATGCAACGCTTCATTTTCGACGACTTTGACACGAATCCTGTTCCTGCACAGTTTCAGATTAGAGCGCGTTGTGACCTTTTTTTTTTGGCACTCTCTCGAGTTTGGATCTTTCTGGTCCTCTTCCTTTTCCCTTTTATTTTACTTGGATATTCCCACAGTTGCTTCTTCTGAACGGAGGTGTTATACATTCTTGGGATTCTCGGCGGACTTTATTTCTTTCCTCCTTACCGTTGTACTCTTTGTCCGTTGGGGTGTTTGCCTTGGGCTACTTTAATTTCTATTCCCGATACCGAGATTTTTGGGCTCTGGTGTTGGTCGTTTTATATCCCCCTCAGTTCTTCTGGCTCCGTCGGGTGACCACCCAAAGTCCCCTGGCCCTACATGCAAGCCGCACATTTGAACTATCCCAGCGCCGCGGACGAGCGGACCGGAACCCACACTCCCTAGTTTTGATCACTTGCTATCCATATATCTCCTTTGTCTATAGCTGCAACGGCTGCTTTGAAAGCTGCTGTGAAGTCTGGAACATAGTTGAATTGATCAACCTACCGTCTGGTGCTCTTACAGTGTCCTTCATACCTGGTTTTGATTCTAACACTTGCATTGTCTCAAGTACGGAAATTTACAGACCGAGTAGAAACTAAGCCAACTTGCCCGGCACGAAAGGGTGACCAGCACTCAATCCGCCACATACAGCCCACGCCTGCCCATTGACGTAGCTACTCTCATCGCTCCCCAGGAACAGAGCCACGCGAGCCACCTCATCCGCAACCGCACCCCGCTGTAAGGGATTCAGCTGCCCGATTTTGCGTTCCGTACCGCGAGCGCGCGCCGCGTCAAACACCTGCTGCGTCATCCCCGTCTCGATCAGACCCGGGCAGATAGCATTCACGCGGATGCCGGTACCAGCTAACTGATACGCACACGTCTGTGCAATCGACACCACCGCCGCCTTCGAGGCGGAGTAATCGGTCGACCCGGCGTTCGAGCGCAGCCCAGCAACGGACGCCGTGCAGATGATCGAACCGGAGGGGTATGGCTTCGCCGCGGATGTCACCTTCATGCCCAGCGAAGCGTACTTGACCGCCAGGAACACACTACCAAGCATCAGAATCACCTCCCCTTATCAATTATAAGACAAATCACTCACCCGATAGTATTAACCCGCAACGTCCTCGCAAACTCATCCCCCGTCACATCCGTAAACAGTTTATTCTGTCCTACGATCCCCGCATTCGCGAAGAAGATGTCCAGCCGGCCATACCTCGCAATCGCGTCGTCCACGACCGCCTTGACGGCTTCTTCCTCCGCCGCGTCGAACTTGCGGATCTGCACCTCCACGCCTGGATACAGCGACTCGATCTCGCGCTTGTGCGTTCCCAAGAGCGTGTCTGTGAAGTCGCACAGGTAGACGGCTTTTGCGCCGTTGTGCGCGTACTGGTGGGCGCTGGCGCGGCCGATGCCGGCGGGGGAGTTGGCGCCTGCGTATCGTTAGTACTCTTCTTTATCCCAGGGGAATTGGTGGAGGAGGTGGTTCTGTAGTTCTGGTTTACCTGTTATAATGACGACTTTGTCTTTCACGCGGCTGGAGGCTGTTAGTATGGATTGAAATATGCTACAACAGAGAAGTGCCTTACGGTCCAACAGAGTCAGGCGCAACCGTGCGGATTCGGGGGATATCCTCAAATTTGCCCGCGTCGGGGATACCCTCGACCAACTGCTGGCTGACAGCTTGGAGGCGGCGTTTGGCTACTCCGGACATAGTGCAACGAGAGAGATAGATAGGATGGTGCTAAGTGATCAGGTGTCGGCTTGGAAAATCCGTATATGAAAAGGAGCTACACAATCGTAGATATTGCGGATTGGTCTCTAGATAGACCGTCATTTTAAATCCACGTCGATGCACTGTTTCGGGTGATCTCTAGCTGAATGTTCGGCTGCTCATGCGGAGAGCCGAGGCAGACCCCCATAATGCACAAACGGCATAGATGACTCAGCAGGGAGTATAAACTGTGCAGCGGGTTGGGGTAAGTCACATGACCTCTTACACGTCATGGCCCATGCGGCCAGCAAGAACGCCTGAAACGATGGACTAGAGCTGGTTTCCCTGTTTTCCTTTTTATGAGCTCTCTGTTTGATTGTGAAGTTCTGCTATTCTGTCTCTTGTTTTTGGCATCGGGACAATTCCGATATTCGGTCTGCCCTGTTGTGTTGTGCTGGTCTGCCGGAATGAGCTTACCGTCCCTCCTGGCTTCAAAAACGATCTACTAACCCCGAAAAAAAGCATCGGACCACACGTGGGGAGGGCAAAAGTCTAAAGAAAGGTCCACGCGAGGACTTCGAGAATCCTTTGGTGCCTGCAAGTTTCAGTCATACTACATCGGCGCTCCTGCGCAGAAAGAGAATATAAATCAAGCATTCATGAAGCCTATACTTGATCCCTGCTTCTTCGTTTGCTCGTTTCAGCGCCCCACGAACCATGGCGGAGCGCGATATCCAGCAGCTACTGCGTCGTTCCTCTTCGCGAACCTCGTCCACCTCGCGGCACAGTCAAAGAGCTAAGACCGTTCGTGCTCGATCTCAGAAGCGCCATTCTGCCTCCTCCAATGCCACCACCACCGACCTCACCTCCTTCCCCTCCCTCTCGCCGGACCGCTCACCCGACGGCTTCGTCGGCGAACCTGCGCTGAATCGCGCCTTGACGAACGCATTGCTGGACGGGGACGCGGAAGAGGGTTCCGGCGATGTCGCCCGTGACCGACGGTCCACCCTAGCCAAGTTGACTGGGGCGGTCCCCGCGAACTCTGGCCGTGCCGCCTTGTTCGACGATTCGTTCACCACGCATGATTTCCCCGGTGCGCTGCACCTAGCTGATGACTCGAATATTGAACGGTTAATAGCCAGTATGGGCGCAGTGAAGCTGGTCAGGCAGTTTGCCCGCGACCTGGCGCAGCGGGATGCAGAGATTTCGGCGCTGCGTCAGCGAGCGGATGCTAGAGAGCGGGAATTGAAGAGGATGCTCCGTGAGGTTTCCGTCTCCAACCAGGATATTGAGCGAAGGCTGTATGCGCTGGAGAATGCTCCGCGCAAGAATTCGGACGGTGAGGACGCTGAAAACGATGCGGAGCAGGCAGGCCATCGGGGGCCAGGGGTTCACGGGCTCATGCAACAGGCGATGAGCGACGGGTTGGGGTTACGGCTACATGAGGACGACTCGGTGCACTCTTCAGATCACGTCCAAGCGACTGTTCGTGGGCCGCAGCTCTCAGAGACTGACTCGCGCTCAGGCACGTCAAGTGTCGATTCAGGGACTACCCGAAAGAGACAGAGCTCTGTTCGCGGTTGGCAGGATTATATCTTCGGCAGTGGCACCGCCAGTCGGAAGACTAGCAGAGCGAGCAGTATCATGGACGATGTTGGGGAAGTCGAGGAGGATACCCAACATCGGCGTGTTTCAAACAACAATCGCCGGAAAGCGCTCGATGAGCAGCTCTTTCAACCTCCTGGCGAACGTACGGGAGGTGGCATAGCTGCAAAACGTGCAGTTGCGGGAGTAGTCAGTGGAGACGATGCTAGCACTCATTCCCGCAAATCTTCAAAATCAATATCGTCGTGGACCGTCAGACTGTTTGCTGGAGGCTCTCAGAATAGTCGAGATGAAAATGACGCGGGATCAATCCGCAGCAGAGCTTCCTCCATCCATCAGGACAAGACTAGAGGCTCCTCATGCACGTCCGCAAATCCCAAAACGACACTGTCAGCGGTCGCAGCCTTGAAACGGATCAACAGCAACACGAGCATACACAGTGCGCCTGGCAGATCTACCAATGGGCCCACTGGGACCGGCAGATCAACGGCTCCTTCTGGTCGACGACATGCAGCCTCAAGCGTATCTCAAGCCGCAAGCTCCGAGGCAGGCGACAAGAGCTCCACGAATCTGGGGCCAGTCGAAATGGATGCCATTCTTCCCATGGAGTCTCGACCTCCAACCCTTTCTTATATGTATAACAACTATCAGCCTGGCGAGCTACTCACCGATCGGTTTGGCTTCATCTACGACCAGCGTCGGAAAAAGAGGCAGAGAGAAGCTGCTATGTCCAAGAATAACAGCAATCGTCTGAGCATCGCTGAAACACTCAGCAGCTTCCGCACCGAAACATCAGATGGAGATGACGATGCTGACGTTCAAAACTCGTTGCTACGAGCTGCGGAGCCTCAGCGCTCACCCTGCTCGGCTTCACCCGACGATCCAGAAGCTGGAGCTGTGGCCATACGAAAATGGCAGGATTATCTAAAGTTTCCAACTCGGCCAACGGAGTTACTGTCCCACACCCCATCAGCCGGCCCTATTGTGTCACTTACCACCGCAAGCGAGCCTCCGCCGCGTAGTACTGCAGTAGCGGTTGACCGACATGGCTCGCTTTCCGTCAATCCAAATGCTCCGCCATCTGCATCTACATCCACGGTCGTCGCTGATCGTCCAGAATTTGCGGGAACATCCGCCGATCAGCCCACGACTGCAGCCGCGCCGAGTGCGTCCGCAGAGAATGAACCAGTCAAATTGCTTCTTGAGCAATTGACAGAGCTCCACGATACCCTACAGCGGGACAGGACCGTCAGATGGAACGAGTTCATGCGCAAGGTGCGCGCAGAACGCAGAAAGGAGGGAGAAGCTGCTGCTGCTACGACTTCTACTCGAGCTGCGCAGTCCGTCGATACACCTGAAGCATCTCTGGCTGTCGGCGAGGTAGTAGGAATAGCCAATCTGGGGAACAAGGGCAAGGTTGGTCGTGCAAAGTGGCGGGAGTTCCGATCGCTCGTTCTTGGCGGGATTCCCGTTGCTCTGCGGGCGAAGATTTGGTCTGAATGCAGCGGCGCATCCTCCATGCGAGTGCCTGGTTATTATGATGATCTGGTGGCAGGTATCGGTGACAGCGAACCGGACCCATCGGTTGTGGCGCAAATAGATATGGATATCAACAGGACGCTGACCGACAACGTATTTTTCCGCAAAGGTCCCGGCGTCTCTAAATTGAGAGAGGTGCTACTGGCATACTCACGCCGCAACCCGGAGGTGGGATACTGTCAAGGGATGAACCTTATTGCTGCTTCGCTGCTTCTCATCACCCCAACCGCAGAGGACGCTTTCTGGATTCTTGCCTCGATGATCGAAAACATCCTCCCTCAGCATTATTACGATCACGGATTACTCGCTTCACGAGCCGATCAGGTAGTCCTGCGGCAGTACATCTCCGACGTACTACCCAAACTAGCCGCACACCTTGACTCGTTAGGCGTCGAGCTCGAAGCCCTGACATTCCAATGGTTTCTCTCCGTCTTCACCGACTGCTTGTCCGCCGAAGCCCTCTATCGCGTCTGGGATGTGGTGCTCTGTCTCAACGTCACCAGTGTCGTGACTCCCGGAACTGGAAGTGGCTCCAACTCTTCAACCCGGGAGACCAACGATGCAAGCAATTCTTCTGCCCAGGACATCGCATCCGGAAGCGGCGGCGGCAGCACGTTCCTTTTCCAGGTCGCTCTCGCCCTCCTGAAACTCAACGAGCAGCAGCTCTTGACCACCTGCTCCACCCCGGCGGAACTATACACATACATCAACCACCAAATGACCAACCACGCCATCAGCATCGACGGGCTCATCCAAGCCAGCGAGGCCCTCCGGAACGTCGTTCGCCGCGAAGACGTTGTGGCTCGACGGGCAGAAGCCCTGCGAGAAATGAGGGAACTCGGCGGACCGACCCAGTCAGCGGACGCTGAAGCCAATCCCGCCTGAACAGCTATCACTGTCTCTTTACGTCTCTTTCCTTTCTTTGCCTATTCATACAATGTTACTGCTTTTACTATGATACCATTACGTTCCTTAGAAACCGCACTGGTCCTCTTTCGTTTCTTCCTTTCCCTTATTTCTGTTCCGAAGAAAATAGACTTGATGACAGTACACGATCATCTAGATTGGGGAGTTACGGCAGGTTTCAATTGGGTTGGCCTCGTCTTTCATGCATTCCTTTTCTTGAACCCAGGCACAAATCATGCGTCTATTGGCAGAGAGACCAGCGAGCAAGCCAGCAAAAGACATTAGCTTTATCATCTTCATCAATTGAGATACCCAATTCAATTTGGCTTTGTTGATTCGGCTTTAAATTCTTACTTCATTCTGGCAGATTGCTTTAGTGGAATATGTTTGACCCGAAACTGTGACAGTTGAAGGATAAAGGATAAAAGCATACGCCGTATATATCAGATATAGGTCTATCGCTCATGTAATACGCCCGAGAAGCGACATGTAATGCTAGACGCTGACCTGGTGACTTCATTTTTGCTATCTCCATAAATTTAAGAGGGGTAGACATTTTGATTGAGATTCTGGCCTACATTGTCAGAAGCAACGACAGATCTTGCTGAGAATACATGGGATTTGTAAGGTGTTCCCTCGGCCGCATCCAATGTCCACGGTTCCGGCGGATCATCAAGTGGACCAGTAGCTCTCGGCGCAAATCATGCGCTTTCTCTGGTATGACTTCAATCGTAGTTGTGGGTATCAAGGCAGGTTTAAGGAAGACTGCGTAGAATCATATCGGGCATCAATCAGATTGAAAGGTAATGGCGGCACAGCTATTCAGCTGGGGAGTGCCTCTGGCAACCAGAACCGGCCACCGTCAAGGACAGTCGTCAAATCCACTTGCAAGGGCTCCGCGGCAGGCCGCAGTCCAACATCCAACACGTCGCGCGCCACAGCCTTGACCTGTCGCATTATCGCCTGAGAGATAGCCCACGTACGGGCCAGAGTCTTGAAGACGCCGATGGTGAGACTGAGTCGTTCCCGACTGGGTTCGGGCATCCTCCCGGCTTTGACGGAGCAGGATGCCAACTGCACAATGGAACTGAGAACCAGCGCGCAGATGAAGAAGGGTGTATGTTTGACGACCGGTAATCGGATGGAGGCTAACTGGGAGATGTCCTTGGCTGCCTTGAGAGCTTTCATGGCATGATCATTGTGTGTGAAGGCCGGGATGCTGCAGGGACCATGATGTCCGCAGATGACCTCAGCAGCAACCGCAGGTGACGATAGTAGGTCGGACCGTGGGAAATTGAGATAGACACTCGCTCCGTTCGCGATCATTTTTGCCTGGAACATCATTTCGTCCACCGACCCATCTGGACGCATTAACTCGGCTTTCGATTCGGGAAGGTGGTGGAAGAAGCTGTTGATACGCGCGTCGACCGCCTCCACATGGTCTTCTTGACCCTCAAGCATGTCCTGAATAGCAACCACCCGCCCGAGGATCCGAACAGCTTCGATCCGGTAGGTGTAGGAGGAAAAATCTCGCTCCTCGTCGGCAAAGATGTGGTCGTCAAATTGAGCAATGGTAGGAGGCGGTGGAGCGGCCATTCCATCCTGGAAGATGCGTTCCTCGCACGGAAGGCCGACCTCGAGTGGTACTAGGCTGGTGCGGAAGGTACGCTGGACGCCCAGGGCAGTCAACATGCCTTCTACTATGAACAGTTCCCACCAAGTGCGTCGCAGACTTTCTTCCCGTATAGGATCACCTCCGCCCATGGAAATGGCGAAATCCTGACGATGAAGTCCGAGTTCGAAGGCCAGGTCGACGGCCGTAGCGAGGCATTGCCCGGCTTCTGCCCGCTCGTTTCGCGAATGGAGCACAACAGCCAGCAGGAGAAGTGCCTGCAGCTTCTCCACGGAGCTTTCTTGCTCCATCGCTGACGACATCACGGAGGGCCTATATACCTCACTATTTGCGGCGGGGGTAAAGTGGGAACCGATGAACTTGATAACATGCTCGAGAAACGGCGGCACATGAGACCGATAGAGTATACGAAGCGGAGGAAGAATCGGATGCGAAGGGTGAAAGTACGTATAGTAAATATCGATGAGGTACCCATCACCAGCGACGGAATTCACCGAATCGGGTGTGAGAGGGCAACCGTTGCTGACCGGCGCAGAGTCCGACACTAGTGCCTTGTCGTTGGTGAGAATGGGATTATTCGAGTCTGAAGAGGCGAAGCCGTTTGGGAAAATGTAAGAAAGTCCGTCCGGAACGCTCCAATCCTGGGAAGTATCCAGTAGTGCGACCGACTGAAAGTCGAACGAAGACGATTGATCAGAAGAGGGTGTCCGTTCAGGAGACGACGGGTTGGCGCGCCGTTTCTTGGAGGGTCCTTTGTACCCACGACGAGAAGGAGTGTACTGGCACTCTGCCCCTGTGGCTGCGCATCGGCCACAGACAGGGGTCACCCCGTCACATTTAAGATGCTTATGGCGACAGAGAAGACAAGCCAGGAGAGAAGGACCAGAGCCCTTGGGCTGAGAAGGGTTCTTGGTTGGAATAAATGGTCCGTTCATGATGAACCGCCACGCAGCTTATCAATTGGCCAACATATATCAAAACGACCAGACGCGTAGTTTGTTCTTTGCGGGAAAAGAGGGGATTAACAGGACGAGAAATGAAATGAGACGATAACCAAGATTCAATTAGCTCAACTGAGCCGTGAGAAGCATTTGATAGAGTTGGGGGAGAACACAGGCAGGTCGGAGAAGAGCGGGACCACCATCCACACCTATATAGTCCAGAAGTAGGAGGGATCGGTTGGAGAAAAGTGATAGATAAACGGTTGCAAGTCGGTAATTTGAAGTCGATGAAGACAGTTAGTCTAACTAGATGGAAGCCAGGCTGATAGGTCGACGGATCAATTGAGAATGTCAAGACTTACAAAGTGGTGGCTCAGCCGGGAGGAGCTTACCTCAGAAGTGCCTACGTACGACATCCAATTAATCTACCTCCGTAATTCCAGCTGTCAACTTGCGATACCACCATTGCCTGCCACTCATCTTCAGCAGTCATTCTTCGCTTCAACAGAGTCCTAAATTCAGTGTTTGTTTAGCGGTGCAGGAGTACTGATTGCTGAACAGAGTCAATTCATTTGGTAAGTGTTTGGATACACCGTGTTCCTTACGATATATCCCAAATAATACTAATTTCCCTAGGACGACTCCCAAACAACTTCATTTCGCGACCGGTCGCACTGCTACTTAACTCATTCCCCTGGACTGTCCATTTCAACGCTAGCGCTAGCGTTCATTTCAGATACTTCGCGTACAAGAATACTCCGCTGCATCAGCATGATTTCCGACGACGATCTCTACCGTCTCGCCATCTTCCTTGGATCGTGCGCTATGATGATGATAGTACTCTACCATTTCCTCGAAGTCAATGCGAAGGACGATACCATCGAAGAAGTCCCAGGTGTCAAGAAGTCGGTCGAAGGTTCTACTACTGCCGGTGTAACGCCGGCACCGGCTGCGGCGGCCGCGGCCGCGGGGAGCACATCAGCAATTGGAGGTGGGAAGGACCGGTAGCTATTGTATACTTGGGGATCGCGTTTCAGCATGAAGGAGGTTTGATTTGTACGGAGGTGACTCTGAGAGTCGAGCAGGATTGTCTGTAGAATACCCATGCAAGCATTGCAGTCACAATTAACGTCCTCTTAAGTGGTTAAGAGGGGCTTTGGATAATGCTATGTCCACTAAGCTTCGAAAGATGCACCAATCCCAGTGAGAATCAAAAAAACGCCGAAGAGCCCGCTGGATGCGAAAAAATGACCTTGACGCCAATTGCCGTAACCACGATATGAACGACAGCTGAATAAATCACAAGATCGAAGGGGTATCATTAGACCTGAAATGTGCTAAGACTCATGCCTCACTGCATAGACATCCTCATCGTTACTCACTCTCCCAATCCTTGCGGGAGTAGCCAACTGGCATCCACCGGGATCTAATCCATACCCAATATGTTCCTTCAGCCTCTGTACTGCCTTGAAAATCTCCCGGGCTTTCTCAATTTGTGTATGGTTGCCATGGACACGGTTGAATGCGCGAATCGAACTGTAGCTTGCAGGGAATATTAGGGAGTCTTCGCCCCCTGGCTGAATAGACTCCGGGATGGTTTTAGGCACGGGGCTTTCACCGGCAACGCGACCCTCTAGATGGCAGGTAAAGACGAAAATTGTTAACCACCGAACCCATTGAGCAACAAAACAAAAAAACATAAATTCAATCATCTCTGTGCTTTCTCACCAGTTGCAGGCACTGATGGTCCGTCGCCCAGCGTCCATGCGATAGATGTCACATGTCCTGAAAGGACATGCTTGTACAATTGCACTGCCGGTAGGTTCTCTCGAAATGTGCAGTCTTTCCATTGACAAGTGAGCGTGTAAGGCACGTGAACTTTAAAAATGTGCTTCTTGAGCATTTCAAGATTGTGCAGCTCCGCTTGGCAATTCTCCCAGCCACACGTGTAGACCTGATAAGGAATTTGGGAAGTGACGGGTATTGTAACCTCAATCTTAGAGCTCGCGGGCGGTCGCCCAGGAGGTCTTCTCCCGACCATCTTGACAGATGGACGCGGTGACGACTTTGCTTTAGGAGACGGCTGTGCTTTTGTACGTATTTGAATTGAGCGTCCGGGCTTTGGTTGCGGCTGCGACAGGGGCTGTACTTGCAGGTGTACTTCTGGCGGAGGGTGCGACCGAGGCTGGGGGTCAGAGGGAGGTTGTACTTGTTTCTGAGAATCGAATTGAGATGGGGATCTCTGCTGAGGGACTGTCTGTGATGTCTGTAACGTATGCGGTGACCGTGGCTGTAGTTGTGGTAGTTGTTGATGATGTTGATGAGGGTACTGCGGAGTTGCGGCAACACCAGCATATGGAGGATTTGGTTGGGCAGGACGCGCCATGGCGGAAGTCACATGCGCC